AGTTGTCAGGGGGATGTCTTTGAAATGGTTGGAAAATAAATACGATGAGGAAATTGGGGGAGACACTGGGTAATGGGGTTCCTCTTGATGGAGGCATTAGCGATCGTAATTTATTTATTTGATTCAGGGGATTAATTGGGGGCGAGTGTTTGGGGGAGATTAGTTGGAAAAATTTAACGTTTTTCTTTGTAAATGTTTTAGATTATTTCAATTTTTTTTAATTCTATTGTATTTTTCGGTATTTTAATTAGATTTTGTTCGAAATTGATGGACTATTAATTTCATGTAATTGAAACAATTTTATTTTTATAAAGACATTGTTGGAGTGGATGACAACGGATTAACATAAGTGAATTTTTTATCAAAACCAAATCAGACCTTAAAATTCAACTTTTTTTAAAGATATTCCGGACTAATGGGTTATTTTAATTTTATTTTCAATGAATTACTTATTCCGTATAATTGAACCAATTTTATTAAAGTTGATATGTTAAGTTAATTTATTAACTTCCAAAAGAAATATTTTTGAAATGAATGGAAAAGGTTGAAATACATTTTAAATATTTTGAAAATCGTTTCCTCGTTTTATATTCAATTTAAATAACGACTGATTTACGTTCCCCCCAAGAAAAGGTCAGATCGACATTTAGGTAAGCAAATTAAAGCTTTCCTGAAGAAAGATAATAACTCACGTTCTCCACCCCCCCCCCGCGAATTTATGAATTCAAATGAATTCTAATGAACAGATGTTATCGATGATTTATGCTCAGCAGTATAAAAATTTCCACGATAATAAAACACGATGTTTATTTTTTTTTAACCCAAGATGACTGATGAACGTTTCTCACAGAACTAATTTTCCACGCTTCACAGTTAAAAATATTTCAACCTCATAATCTGAGAATGAATGAAGATGGTAAAGACATTTATTCATTTTTTATTACTAACACTGTTATAAGACTGCTGCTATTTACGTAGCTATTAAGAGGCCAGAGTTATAAAACTACAGAGGTTCATGATTATGCGACTCTTAATGATAGCTTAATGCAGGTCTTCATTTGAGAAGCGTCAATCAATTGTTCTCAGAGGGGCAGGAGAATTTATTGGTTGATTGAAGACATTTTTCCGTTGGGTTCAATTAAAATTGAAGGAAATTGTTGAGCTCAATTGAATCATTATTTCATGGCGAAGACTATTATATATTTGTTATCTGCGGAGGTGGAGGGTGCAGTTGTGTACGCAGTGGCTGGTACGCGCTGTCGGTAAACAGGTTTATGGACGTCCGAACGATATTTGTACACAATGAGACTGTCTAATGAAGGGAAAATGTCAAGGTAATTAACAATTTTGTGAAGGATGTGGGAGAGTGATTTTAGAAAATTTTATCGTTCACGCAATCATAAAATAGCAAATATCTCCAGAACCATTAGATTTACCAGAAAATGTGAAAATAATTTTTTTACGGGAAATTTAATTTCCCACAAAAAAGATTTTGCAACATTTTTTCCTAAATTCAATAGTTGCGGAGGTTTTGACGAAATAAACTAACAGATTTTTTCACTAATTTTTCGTGTGATGAAAGTTTGCCTTGTTCGATTAAAATTAAAAATTGATTATTTAAGATGAATCATCTCCCCAAACGACTCCCGATGCCATCTCCAATCTAATAATTTCCAATTACCAATTATCGACCAAGAGTTGAAAAATCGAAAAATTGAATTTTTCCCTCATCTCATTCATTACAAAAAGCCAGCTAATATTTTCATTCTTACCACTTTGGAATCCCATAAGCAATTAGTGTTGCCCACATATTGCCTCATAAAGAGAAGAGAAAGAAATAAATAGAGGGAAGAAGAGAAGCAGCACGATGTGAGTAACGATCAACCAGGGAATTGCTTGTTTCATGTTTTAGAATTTACGCCTTTTTTTTTCATCCATTCATCCAATTTTTGTTCCGCAATATTCCCACCTCCCTCTTTGAGATTGTTTTGCACATTCGGATGTGGAGATACTCGAGACAGGAAGACGTATAGCTTGGGCTTTGAAATAAAATGCCGAGGCAAATGAATGGAAGTCTTCAGATGTGATGTTTTTTCGGTGTTATAAATTAACTCTGTACCGATATAAATCTCGTGGGGGAGTAATAGAGTGACGTATAAAGGAGGCATTAAGAGGCATGAAAAAACAAATATGTACGGGGGATGTATCGTGTTGGGATGTAGATAACACTGGTTGTTATAATTCAATCAGTCAGGGGATGAGGAAAAGAGGACGAGGTGATTCTGATTACATTGTCTATTGGCAATGTTCTTGTTTTTAATTCATGTGACCCAATTAACAGAGTTAATTCCAGTTGACTGGTGTCTCATGAACGTGTGGAGGTATAACATGATTCTTGAAATAGATGGGTTTTTCGGGATTAAGTGGTGAGATTCAGAGACTGGGGACTTTATTTTTGTTTGGGTCATTAAACATGTGGATTTAATTGAGACATTTTCAATTATTATATTTGTTGAAACATGTGGAAGTATTTCAACGTGATTCTTAAAATAAATGCGGGTTTTGGGATTAAATGGAAAGATTCAGTGACTGGGGAATTTATTTTTGTTTGGGTCGTCAAACTCTCGGATGTAATACAGAAATTTCTAATTATTACGTTTGTTGAGTAATTTGAGGAGAAAATTTATGGGCGACCAGTGCCATTTAAATTAAATTTTTAAAGGAATTACTCCTTCTTTTTTTAAAACTCTTTTTGCAAAAAAAAAAATCCAAAATGTGAAAAAAAAATGTTTCGAGAGGTGAAAAATAATTAAAAGTCTCAAAAAATTGTGGTATTCTAAATATTTTATGAATATTTTTAAAAAATACTTTCCAATTTTTTTAGAGTTTTAAACTGTTTAATTGTTGAGGATGGCAAAATGAAAAGTGCAGATTCTCAATGTTTAAATAGTAAAATAATTGTGAACAGATCAGTGAGCTGGGGTTCAATGGGATTTATATGGAATTATATGTAATTGGGACATAATAATTTTAAGGAATTAAATTGAAAATGGGAGACAAAAAATGTTAAATAATTTAGAAAGCTCACCTGATCAGCCATGTTGTAGCCCCCGTCGTGGTGGTACGTGTTCTGATGGTGCTGTGACACACTCAGTGACAAGTCGAGGTTGTCGCTCCTCTGGAACAATAAAAAAACCAATACTTAGAATTGTAATTGATAATAACGGGAATTAAGCCAATTAACACCCATTTTAACGCATAATAATGAGCATAATTCAGTATCGAAGTGGTAAAACTGTACAAGTCAATTTTGACTAGTGACCAGTTTTCAATGAATATCTCGGAATCTAAGGGAGATAGAAAAATTGCTGTTATAACCTTTTTTCTAGAGTGAATTGAGAGCTACGAAAAAGGTAATTACGAAAACATCGCTATCTCCCTTAGATTCGGAAATATTCCTCAAAAACTCAACTGGGAGATAAGTCGACTTAAAGCGGTTTACCACTTTGCTACTGAATTATCGAAATCCTTAATTCAAGATAATTTTGGATGAAATTTGATGAATTTCCCGTGTTAATTCAACGAAAAAAATCGACTTTTTTTAGTTGAAAACACGAATGGCACTCGAGGGTGTCGGTATTTCGAAAATTTTGGAATCGTGGATCGACCCAGAGATCAACGGAACGAGAACAATGCAGTGTGAAACAGCGGACGTTCCTACGTTCTCTCATTCTCTCCTCTTTCCTCGGGATTTTCTACGAGTCGCATAACTCTCACACGTACACCCAGCAGATAGGTATTCCGTGTGAGAGCATCATCTCCTGGGTCAAGAGGCATTCCCTCATTCATTCACTCTCCCCCCCCCCCCCCGTGTTTGTCTTTCGGTGGAAAAATTACAGATGAGGAAATAGTGGTGGTTGAGGGCCTCAATTGGTTTCAGGAAAACAACGAGACTTCAGTGTGCATTGTACAGACGTAAATGACGATAATGCGGGAACTGTTATAATAATGGCGAAAATATATGATTGTGGGGCTTTGCGCGGTATCGGAAATCTTAAGAAGTCCAGTACAAATAGCCTTCCGTTTCCCATGACCCTGAATTCTAGAAAACACATCATAAAACGCGAAAAGAAATTTTTTGCATTAAAAAAAAAATTATAGAGTGTAGAGGGAAAGTTCTAGTCAATTTTGATACTTTTGTTGTTGTTAATTTGAAAATATCTCTCGCACTAGCGGATTTTAATGAAAAAGTGATAAAAACTTTTTTGTAGGAAATTCAATTTTCTACAAAATGTGTCTGAGACATTTTTCTCTAAATCCATTACCCTCTGAGATATATTTAAAATACCAGTAATACATGTTTTCAAACATCGAAAAGACTGACAATTTTGATTCGCAGATATCGTCAAAACTATCATCTTTATTAAAAAATGTCAGAATACAATTTTTGTAGAGAATTAAATTCTCTAAAAAAAGTTCTTGGGACATTTTTCCCTAAACCCACTTCCTCCCAAGTTATATTCCAAATACAAACCATCAAATTTGAATCACGAAAAAATTCTAAACTCACATTTTTCGAATGCAAAAATTTCTACACTTGAGGAACAAGTGGAAACCCCTGGCTGATCTCCGTCGAGTGACCATGACCAAGGCCACATGGGTGGAGAGAGTCAGCAATGAAAAGTAAGAAAAAAATCCTGCGAATTGGTCTGGGCGTCGCCTCCTCCTCGAAAATAAAGAAACACTGGAGGATAAAATGAAGGAAAAAGAAGCATTGAAGAAGGAGAAATGAAAGTAATAGTCGTCCTCGGCCACCGGCGGAACATAATAGAGATAGACTCGGTAATTTGTGCGTAATTGCGGTAATTCATGGTGGGCTTGGATTCGTTACGGCGTCCCACCGGGGACACCGGGGAGAATTATGCGACTCGTTTCGTTCAGGTGGAAGTACACGTATGATGCGATTGCGGGAACCGCATATGGTTATTACCGTTTCACATATATAAACCGGGCCGCCAGAGCCCTTCTGTGCATGCTGAAACAACTGGTGGGTACATCCTTCACGCCGTCATTTCGATTGACCGCTGGGATTTTGATTTTTTTTTTAAATCAACTCTGAGACCATTTTTCATTCGCATCTCGAGACTGTTTTCGTGTATTAGACGTGACAGTAATTGCACTTGCGTGATGATGACGCCTTGTTGTTCCGGGGATTTAGAAAATTGGTGGAAAATACTGGGAATTGCGAAGCGAATTATTGATTTTTTTTTCAACTTCCGGTTTGAAGGAAAAATGAATTCAGTTGAGGGCGATAAATTTGGTGAGATGCCCGTGATTATTAACTCTGGCTCATGCTGAAAACTGCAGAAAATATTGAGGACAGGGATTAGAATAGAGAAATAATTCATCTTTTATTCTAATTAATGAAAGAAAATTGGATAAAATACTTTTTCAATTTATGTGGTTAATATCTTGAATACCAGTAGATTTACGAAAAAATGACATAAGATCTTTTTTGTAGGAAATTCAATTCTACATAAAAAATTTCTTCTGGCGTTTTTTCATAAACCAACAAGTTCTCGAGATATACGTAAAAAACTCCATTGATTACGTAAAAAACTCCATTGATACGTAAAAAATTCCATTGATTATTCTGCGAATATCTCGGAACCCATTAGGTTCATCAGAAACTGTCCCAAAACCTCTTTTGTGTCTCACGAAATTCTCCGCAGAAAATATTGTCTCACATTTTGTCCTAAAATCCCCCATTACGACCATAATTCCACGCTTATCAAGATGAGATTTCTTCTCATGATGAATACAGTGTTATTTTCCTCTTTAGTAGAAAAAACTAAATAAAGAATGAAAATATCTGAGGAATTTCTACCTTGAAATCTCCAGAAATGCACAGGTGGCAGTTTAGAAAATGTGGGCAAGGCCCCAAGAGGATAAAAGCGGACTAACTCAAGATTACAATAGAAAAAAAAATCTTGAAAAAGAACTGGAAATTTTTGTGTTAAAATTCGTCGTGCACCGACCCCTTTCCAGGTCACTGGATCCTCTTACACGATTTACAACAAAAACAAGAAGTGGAATTTCCCCTCCCACAAATTCTTTTCCCGTAACCAGTTTCCCCCAAAAATCTCCGGAAAAGAAATGCCGAGGTGAATTGAGGGGAAAATCATTTTATCAATCGCTAATGAAATTGAATTTACAAGTGAACACCTGGTGGACATGCGTGTCATGTCGAGTTAATTAGATTCCTGTAGTGTCGGCACTTTGCGTGTTGAATGAATGGCATTATACACGTTTATTCCCTCTTTCCGTTTGGCAAGAGTACCATGTACTTGAGAAAACGTGACGGAGGAATTAAATCCGGTGTGTTTCGGACGCCTAGCGTGTCAATATGTGGATCACGGAGAGGGCGATGACTCAACCGTGGTTTACAATGCAAAAACTCCGATGGTGAGGGATAAAGAGGCGAGGGAAATTGGTTTCACACCTCTGAAAAGAATTTTCAAGCATAAAAATACAAAGAATAATTTTTTTGTTCATCTAAAAAAATCAGAATTCCATTGAAATCATTTGTGAATGATTAGGAAAAGGATTTATTTTTTATATGCAATAATAGCAATTAATTTTTTATATAGAATGATTATAATCTTTTATACTTTATTTTGAATCCCCACGTTTTTCAACTGAGAATCAAATGAGAGAAGAAGAGTCAAATGCCAATTTTTTCAGCTAAAAAAATTTTCAATTATTCAACAAATTAAAAATTCTCGGATGCTTGGAATGTAATCTCCTAACATTCGCCGTAATAAATTAATTCACCATTCACAAACCGTGAAATAAAATAATTTCACATCTCTGAGAAGAATTTTCTTGTGCGAAAAGGCAAAGAATAAGAGTTTTTATAATCAAAAGAATTGTAATTCAAGTGAAATCATTGGTGAATAATTGCAGACTGAATTTTGTGCAGTGTAATTGCACTTAATTATTACGATAAAAATATTATCACCCCTCAGAATATTTTGAAAACTGAAATTTCAATTTTTTAAGCTAAAAAAAAATTAAAATGTCTTTACAAAAATGAGAAATACTCAATAATTGAAAAAAAAATACCACAAATCATTGGAATATCTTGGTATGTAATCCTCTAACATTCACCGCAATAAATTAATTCACCATCCACGAAACACAAATAAAATACCTCAAAACCCCGCATAAATACCCATAATGATGTTTGAATTATCGAATAGAAATTGCGAATAACCTCCATAAACACAATTTTATCCTTTTTTTTTCGTGGCTTGTACCAACAATTGCCGATGGTGGGTGATCGTTAAATTTGATGTTCCATTATGTAAAAGCAATATCGCCTGTTTGAAATTCTTTGAATCCGATATTAGCATACATTGAAAAACTTTTCAATCTCCAATAACATGTGGACAACGTTGAATTCTCCTTCACAACCATTATACATTCAGTAGTATAAACTTTTTCTTATTACACACATGTCTTTCAGGAAAATAAAGTGGAGATTGTAATTGTGATAATTTCGAATGAGAAGCAATAAACGTAAATTAGAGGTTTTAATCAATTTCTGGCCCTCATACACTCTCGGACGATGAAAATCCACTCCGGCAGTTATTTCCACCGTCCGAAACCGTAAAATATTCATCACACAACATGAAAATACGAAAGAACATAAATTAATCTGAATAAACTAACGAAATGGGAATTTCCTCTGCGGCAAAAGAGAAGAGAAGGAGAAAAAAAAATTAATTTTCCCCTTGAAAAAATTCCATTCGCGTTTCAAATTATTTGTTTACCCTCAATATTACTTCCCCAGATAGGGGGAATGTCGAGGCAATCTCATTTTTCAGCGGAATGAGGAGAAAGACTAGCGAAGAATGAAAAAAAAAAATTCCGAAAAAAGAGTGAAAGAAGAAAAGCGGATGAAGCAGCGAAAAAAAATCGTTGATGATGCGGTTCATTTGCTATTTCTCTCCCCCTGTCCACCTTCATTTCGATGAAATACCTTTAAGCCCCCTTATCAACAGCCCCGCAGTTGCCATTTTATTCAAGAATATTTTTTTTCACTCGTTTATTTATTATTAATTTTTACTTTTATTTTATATTTATTCAAGAGAATGTCGAAACATGCGCTAAATA